TGATTCCTTTGTAATGCCTGGATGGTTCTTTTTTATTTTTTTTCCCCTTTTTCTCTCCCAAGTCTTCAGACAGAGTTTTCACCCATCGTATGCTCTTCGATCCCTTGAAATGCTTTGTCATTTGGAACAATCTATCACAGATCTGGAGCCCAACATTTTAGAGTTTCAAAGAATTGAGGCCTTTGAACCATGGTGCTGGAGAAGACTCCTGTGAGTCCCTTGGACTGCAAGGCATTCAAACTGGTCAGTCCTAGAAGAGATCAACCCCGACTGCTCTTTAGAAGGCCAGATCCTGAAGTTGAAACTCAAATACTTTGGCCACCTAATGAGAAGGAAGGACTCACTGGAGAAGGGCCTAATGCTGGGAAAGATGGAGGGCAAGAGAAGAAGAGGATGACAGAGAATGAGGTGGCTGGATGGGGTCACTGAAGCAGTAGGCGTGAGCTTAAAGGGACTCCAGAAGATGGTAAAGGATAGGAAGGCTTGGAGGAACGTTGTCCATGGGGTTGCGATGGGTCGGACACAACTTCGCAATTAACAAAAACAACAAAGGACTATAAAGGACTATAAATAAAGGACTATTGAAGCCTGCCTCTGGCTAGGCCACCTGGATCATAACAATATCACATAAATGTATAGCAAATTGACAATGCACAGTCTGAAGATCATGGTTATGTTTCTTTTGGGAGAGGACAGCAATCTCATCTCCACACCCTTTGAAGGGTGATGTGATTCTTCTCCTGCTAAAGCAGTGGTTCTCAACCTTTCTAATGCCGTGACCCCATAATACAGTTCCCCATGTTGTGGTGACCCCCAACCACTTATACATCACCGGGTGCAGGGGCGTGGCCAAAGAAAAGGGGGAAAAAATGGCGGACAGCCTTGTTTGGCGACCCCCGTGAAATGGTCGTTCGACCCCAAATGGGGTCCCGACCCACAGGTTGAGAACCACTGTGCTAAAGGATCATGTGGGCTGCTGTTCTTTTGAAGTAAATATCTCATTAAACACAGAACACCTGTGATTATAAGGCAATAAAACAGTTCTTCCCCAACTTCTATTTTCCTTCAGATGCAAATTGTATCAATTAAGGTTGTAACTCTGAATTGGTTCAATCAGGAAACATAGTTGATTAATGTGGGGACTATAATCTATATTGATGAGAGTTCACGACACACTGATTTAGTTTTTAAACTACTCTGAGCTACATAAGAGAGTGCAGTAAAAATATTATATTGAAGGTAATCATCCTGCACAAGAGTGAAAGACAACATTAGATCATTGTTAAACTTGGAGGTCTCTTGTATTATTTTGTCCTATCCTGCCAGCAACTGGGAGTCCACAGGGCAAAATTAATTCTGCTGGATAAGGCATGAAGCAAGCAGCATTTGTTTGTCTGTCTGGCAGGATCAAAATAGTTATCACACCATTTTGGTTTCATTTACCCCAGGCATGTCAAACTGCTGGCCCACGGACCGGATGTGTCACGCTGAAACTGTGCCTACCCCATTGCCGGCAATGGGGAAAAAGTCACGATATATCGTGCAACATCACGTGATGTCACAAGTGTGACATGCCTGATTTACCCAAATAGCATCACACACACACACACACACACACACACACACACATCCAAGACGGAGAAGACAACAGATATGGGGAGCTCAATATTTTTAGAAGTGCAACAAATCTCTGGACAATTCTTACATTTGTAAAATTAGCCCAAATCAGATAAAGATATTTTAAGGTTTCTTTTCAAACACTTAGTACAATTGGCTGAAACAGAATCTGCCACATCACACTTCATGGCCTTTAAAGATTAGTTGCTGCACTTGTGTCAGAAGTACTGAGGCACTTTCAGGTTGAAAGGATTAGACAATGACATCACCATTGCTCTTGGGATGCCCAGTCAGCGGCTCCTTTTATGTCCCTGGCAGGAGCTGGAGGGAAGGACGAGAGCTCAACCCTACCCCATGGCAGCTATTGGGTCTCAAACACAGACTTGATAAAGTCCAACCCAGCATCCTAACCACTCAAACCACTGTGCTCCTTTAAAAGGTTGGTTACCAAGTTGCACTAATTTGGAAGAATGCTGTGCATATATTAGGGAAAGGTTTGGTTTTAATATGGAAACCACATATTAAAATTATTATTATTATTATTATTATTATTGTTGTTGTTGTTATTGTTGTTGTTGTGTGGGCCTTTGGAACAAATTGGATGTTGATAAAGTTGCCTCGGGGTTGATCTCAGCATCTCCACATTGTTTTCTTGCCATTGCTTTCTTCTATTATGTCTTTTTCAACCTCCCAGCTTAGCCTACAGCCCTGGGATTTCCTGATGATCTCATGTGAAAGGATTAATCAAATCCAATCCTACTTAGCTCTTTGTGATCAGCTCTTGTTTCTAGCTGCTAACACATGACTCATTCTAAGTGTAGACTGATCTATATATTTATTCCTTTAGATCCCAGAAGGGATCTGGATATATAAAAAAAACATCTCATTGTCCTATTTCTGTCTGAGAGCCGCATTAAAGAATTTAACTGAAGGGGAAATGTAGCATTGATCAAACTGGAACAGGTCAGAGTCAAGTACACCAGTATTTCTGTTCATGGAACCAAAGGACTTTATACAGAGCTAACTTAAATACAAAGAAAGGTCACAGGGTGCAAATCTGGTAGACATGTAGTAGAAATAATAGCAATAGCACTTAGATTTATATACTACTCCATAGAGCTTTACAGAGTGGTTTACAGAGTCAGTATCTTGCCCCAACAATCTGGGTCCTCATTTACTGATCTCAGAAGGATGGAAGGCTGAGTCAATCTTGAGCAGGTCAGGATCGAACTCCTGGCTGTGGACAATTAGCCTGCAGTACTGCATTCTAACTACTGCGCCACCACCCAGAAACAAGGAATTAAACATAACCTAGCCAAGGACTGTACTTTCTGGCAACTTTGGAAGCTGTATAGCAGAGGCAGAATATTTTCCTAGGAGTCCAGATGTTAGTCTCTTGAATCTATAGATAACTTTCTTATCCTGCAAGACCTTTGGTTAAGATGCTACCTCCAGCTGGCTTCAGGGACTTTCATTATTCAGTGTTTTGTAGGACCTAGAAGAGGAATTACAGAAATAATCCAGTAATTCCTTTGTATCCTCAGAATTTATTTTTCCTATGGTACTGGATCTATCTTTGTTTCTGTTCTCTAGCTGTGAACCTACCAGGTCAGGTTGCCCTGTTCCTATAGTTGCCCCAAACTATGTCCATTTGTGATGAGCACAACACCTCTGAGACCTTCAAGACAAGTTTATTCTTGCATTGGTTTTTATGGCCCATAATTCCTCAGATGCACGAAGAAAAGCTTGCACGCTAATAAATCAATTAGTCTTCAAGATGCTGCAAGTATCTTTATGGTCTTTCTTCAAAAGCTCGTATTTGTTCCATGTGGACAATTTTGGATCTTCTACATCATCTTCCATAAAGTCCTCACACTGGGATATATATTTAATATCCTATTCTGTTAGAATTCTACTTTGGCTACCTTGCAATGAAGTCAAACCAATATTCATGTCTAAATATTTTTGCCCCATCTCCTAGTTAAGCCCATCCTACTAGCTTGGTCCTTTGTTGTTCTCTAGTGTACAGGTAGAATATTAGCTCTTGAGTCAGAAGCCAAGAAAATGAACTCCTGACAGCCTTTCCAGACATAGGGTAATTCATTACTTAGCTTGATTTCCACTTAAAATGTACTTTAACTACACTTCCAGCTACAAACCTTAAATCACCTCTCATGTTCACAGAAAAGTCCATCATTTTTTATTTTATTGCCTAGTGTTGGCATGACATAATCCTTTCCTGAGCGTCTCCGAGTGTTTTACAGATCAATAAATTACTTACTTTGTGTCAAAGGCAATGAATGCAAAGCCTCAGTGTCCATTCTACATTTATCCAGCTTCCTTGAAAAAGATTGAAAAGATGGCTGGAACATGGATGGGACATAGGGAAGGAATTGAGGAAAGCAGATTCCAAGGTATTAAAGTATGGAGGATCCGTCTTTTTGAGGCTAATGTGCTAAATCTAGGATTTTTTCTGAGTGATCATAAGCTTCATTTGAATTACCTAACTCAAAAAATATTGAGAAAAATACAACACAGAAGTTGGTCTCTGTACTTCAAAATTTTAAACATATCCAGGGGCAAATAACTCCTGGTGGCTAATACTAATTTTGTGTAGCAAATGTAATAGAATTTGAAAATGATTTGGCCTCAGTTTGTTTTCTACTTCTTGGTTCTTTTGTTATGTTTTTTATTAGCCTTTTGATGTTTTCATCAATCAATCAATTAGTGTTGCCTTTTATGGTTCAGCTGGTGTTTTGGTACTGGATTGTTATTATCTCATATTGTGTTTCTTGATCCCCCAGCATAGAATATATGTAGATAGTGATATGGACTTGTAGGTATTTAATAATTAAAAATACAGAGACAAATATATGAGCATCTCTCAACCAATGGTTCTTATGTCAGGTAAATAAATACCATGATGTACACAAGATGTGGCTATGTGAACTCAAATTTGCTGTAGACAAATTGAGGAAGCTACGGTTTTAAATGCAATAATAGCAGATATCTGTAGTTCAGGTGTAGAATGAGGATGGAAGTTCATTCTCCAAGCTTGTGGGTTGGCCCCATCACAAGACTCTTGCTTGACACAACCCACACCTGACTCATTACAAGATTCTTACCTGATGTGATCTCCCCATCACAAGACCTACTGACCACACTAAGCCCTTATAAGCAAATGCACACTGACATCCCCTAAATTCCAGTTGAATTGTTTGGTAATGAAACATTCAGAAACCAGCACACAAGCTCAGAGAATGAACCTCCATCCTCATGTTCTGTATCTTTCTAGTGAATTGCGATCTCTCTCAAAGAATGTTCAGAAATTAATAGCTTTCCTAATTCTTTAGCTGACTTTCTTCCTTTTCTTGTCCCTGCAGTACCTCCCAAGATTATTGAGATCTCCTCAGACATCTCCATCAATGAAGGTGGCAACATAAGTCTCACCTGCATAGCTACAGGAAGGCCAGACCCGACAATCACCTGGAGGCATATTTCACCTAAAGGTAAGGTAAACTTTAAATGGTCCCTCCCCTTCAAAATCCTTCTTGGAATGTTGCTGCCTTACATAGTAGGATGCCTTGATGTCAGACATGTCCATTCTTGACAACCATCTTATTTGCTTTATTTGTTTTAGCATATTTCCTGATCTGAAGAGTCATTGTGCCTATGGATATTAATTCCCTAGTGCAGAGGTAGGCAGTGGTTATGGGTTCTACTTTATTTTCCTTCTGGGTTTTTCCCCCCCTTAAGACCCCAGTATATACCGAGCAAAATATATATGCCAAATATTAGCTGAGCTAAAACATATAATAAGACAATCAACATCAGCAAATCGAACATCTGTGGCTGTCTCGGTGTATTTGTTCCCTTCTGCTACACACAATTGATATGTAATGAGAGGACAAAGTATTTCAGTACACCCAGAACTGAATAATGTGGAGAAACCTCTTCACAACAAATGTTCATATTCCACAAGAGTGTCCCTGTGTCCAAAAAAAGAAATAGAAAAAATAGCAACCAGGCAAGCAAGCTTTCCAATTATTTGATTTCACTGATCAATTTATTTTCTATTTGGAAAATAGCACGCATTATGTTTATTTTCTAATCTATGGATTCCACTGAAAATGTAAAAATGCAATGTGATTGAAACTCAGTTTTCTCCATGACACAATTACTTTCCTCTTATAAGGTTTGTTGTTGGATAAATGTGTGTGTGTATGTGTGTGTGTGTGTGTGTGTGTTAAAAGATGCATTTACCCATTCTTATAGTCTAAAAATGGGATAGTCCAGGAAGGAATCTACTGTTTTTGTTGTGTCTCTGAGCTCAGAAAGAAGGAAAGATAAAAAACCCAGCCAGTTATAAATGTCATGAATCATAATGACAGATTTCAGTCAGATTATCACTACTTTTTTGCCTAAATCACAGTTGTTGGGTGAGTGGGATAAAATAGGGAAAGATTTTGGAAGAAGCAAAAAAAGGCTGTCTATGGAAATCCTCAGTCATCTAGATCAGGGGTGTCAAACTCAATTTCACTGAGGGCCGCATCAGCATTGCAGTTGCCCTGGTGTGTGTGTATGTGTGTGGCCAGAGTGGGTGCAGCCTACTGGGTGGGTGTGGATGGAGTAGGTGTGGCCTACTGGGTGGGCATGGCAGTTCTACATCATTCACGTCAAGGGTGCCTATGGGGGCCTGGGCAGGAGTGGGACAGATCTGAGGGTCTCTGGCAGAAGGGGGTGGGACCAGGGCAAGTGCCAAGGCATGGTCCACTTGGGCAAGTGCCAAGATGGCCACCACAAAATTGTACATTGGCTCCCGGCTGGCCTGGGCCAGGGCCAAGGCAGCGGGGGCCGTTCCCTCACTGTTTCCAGGATGGCTTCGCGGGCCACATGAAACCACTTTGCAGGCGGCATCTGGCCCCCGGGCCTTGTGTTTGACATGTCTGATCTAGATGATGATTGTCCCAAAGGTGCTTTTTTTCAGGAGGCAACTGGACTTTCTTGTGTTTCTTTTGAAGATGTTTCGCTTCTCATCCAAGAAGCTTTGATGCAAAGGACCCTCTGTCTGCAAGCAATACATATCCTTCCACTCCCCACCATCTAGTCAGACCTGAAGAAGCATCTTGGATGAGAAGCAAAATGTCTTCAAAAGAAACACAAGGAAATCCAGTTGCCTCCTGGGGGAAAAAAAAAAAAAAAGCACCTTTGGGGCAGAAAAAGGCTGGAATTTTTTGAGCCACATCTTCATCTTGTACTTATTTTCTCATTCTGACAACCCATCTAACTTCACCCGATGCTCTACCTCAGAGGTCCCCAACCTTTTTGGCACCAGGGACTGGTTCCGTGGAGAGAAGTTTTTCCATGGACCGGAGGGTGCGTGATTTTGTGTGCTGCCTGCACCCCATGGATGGGGATTTTCTTGTTTGTGCAGACTGGTTGCTGACATGCCACAGCCCCATAGTGGTCCATGGACTGGGGGTTGGGTACCCCTGCTCTACTTAATGAGTGGCACAGGGTTCCTTTGTCATCCATGGGCTTTCACTTCAGCTGATGGGTTTCACTTTCAGGTGTGGCCACTGGTATATTTTCATTCTGCAGAGATGTTTGAGTCCCTGTTATCCAACCAGATTTTTTTTTCCCTCCAAGAACTTTACTTGAGTTGAAATCAGAGGTCTCCATTATGTGTCGGTTTTAGCTGCTATGGAAACTCTGAAGCAACCAAGGGGAGAGGAGCAGGCTAATCAGATTTTACCTGCAGAGTTAGGTAATTTGCTTGAGTAGCCTTGGCCTGATTTCATGTTGCACTGAGGTGTTTGGGATGGGCCACACAGTCACCCTCAAAATAATGATTTACCTGAGCATCCTTTTTTCCATTTTGTCCAGAAGATCTCAAACTGGCACCTGATAGGATTTGAGTAGGCCTTCTAAAAGTTTTTACACAACGAACAGTGACTCTTAGAAGATGTCTCAAGAAGGATGTGTTCTGTTCTCCCAAATTTCAATTCTCCCACATTTCTGCTATCCCATTTTCTAGTTCTTCTCTGCAAAACTGTTACTTCAGTTTTGCTGCGTTGCAATTCCAGTGGTTCCATATTGTTTCCTTCAAGGGATGTCCTGTGTACTATAGTCCTTTTTCTATGGTCTTTAAAACAAAACATTGGATACCTGAATCACTGTTGCAAATAGACAGATGGGTGATGACACCTGGCTAGAGTTTTGACACTCTGGGAGATTTCTTAAAGCTTCTTTGCAGGACTTTTATTTAAAGATTTTCCACTGATAAAATGTAACCATTAGTAGAATCTCATAACTACCCCCCCCAAAAAAAAAATTGGAAGGTCTTAAATATCTGAAAAAGATCAGATTAAAAAAATGCTTTTGACAAACTGAATGATATAACTAAAGAATTAAACTAAAGAATATAACTAATGAATTCACCAAAATTAGGATTATTACCTGTATTTTAGATGGAGAGAGTGTGGTGTCAATGTGTAAGAAGAGATTTGTTTCCTTTTTTGCTTTGGGCAGCTAAATTGTGAATCTCTTGGCAATAGAAATATTAAATAATTTTCAGTTGAAAATGGTATGGTAACATTTAGTTCAGTAATTGTACTAAAAATGATAAAAGAAACAGGATAGTGAATTATCTTTCTTTTGCATCTGGTGGGATTGGATGTTGTTTTGTGAAGAAATAATTTAAATCATCAGTGCATATCAATAGGTACCACTGAAATCCTAATGTGACCTGTAATAAAACCTGAAGATTTTATGCTAAATGAAATGTTTAACAAACAAACAAAAATGACCATTAAACCTCAGATTGTTAGAGAGTTTTGTGGTCTGAAATTGTATGTGGCATACTGCACAGCTTGGCCTACGGTTATCTTTTCGTTTTATATGTCTCCTTGGTTTGCAACATTTAGCATTTTTTGGTTCATAATTGTAAAGAAAATACATATACACATAGCACATAAATGTATAGCTAAGTGAAAATTCATGACAAGAATACCTAACAGAAAAGATATTGGTTTGAATATATGTTTTCATGTGGCTTTAAAAAAAACCCAGCAGCAAATGGAATTAATGTATGACTGAATACACATGAAACTGAGACAAACTAGAAATAGCATAAGCTGTCCATCACTAAGAGAACATATATTTTAATCTGCATGCTTTCTAAATTTTATATTACCTGGTGCATCCAATCTTCCCATAATACCATTAAACCTGTTATGTGATTGAGCTATTTGTCAAAAGGTTGAAGGTATAGCTTGTGCATCGGAATTGGAGAATCAAATGTTTGCAGCATCTGGATTCCACTATGAATTCTTCTACTTAGTGCCCGCATGATAAATTTCTAGTAAATGAAGTTTTCACTGCAGTGGTGTAGCAGGCTATAAGCAAAATTCCAGAATGCTTCAGGACTGCAACAGCTAGTGTGTTTTTATAAATGTTTTCATTTAAGGCTGGTTTCCATTCTAAATCCCTCTAGCTGTCCCCTAAATTAGAATAATATAACTCTTTGAAAGAGCAGTACAGTTTTTGTTAAGAAGGATATTAATGCACTTAAGAGGACCACCAGGGATCCTTTTGTTGAATAATTTAGAAATAGAATAAGTTAATAATTTACAATAGAATAAGTCTTGAATGGAGGCCAAAGCACAAGTTGTGTGAAAACTTGGTCTTCTTCTGTTCTACAGAAAATAGGCCTTTGAAGCTATGAAAATCAGTTTAACAAAATGCAGAATTAGAAGGCAGTTTAATTTGGCTAGTGTCGGGAGTTGTGAATGCTCCAACACTGGAAGGTTTTTAAGAAGAGATTGGACAACTATTTGTCTGAAATGGCATAGGGCTTCCTGCCTGAGCAGGGGGTTGGAGTAAATGACCTCCAAAGTTCCTTTCAACTCTGTTGTTCTGTTATTCTATTATTCATCCAGAGGACTCTTCTGGTTGTGGCTAAAAAAATAATAATAGTCTTTTGCGTAAAACTGGATGGCCACCATGTTAACCTTTTTTTAAAAACCTATGCTCTGGGGTTACCCCTGATCTCATCCCATGTTGTGTATTACTAAAAGAGAAAAAGACATGGGGGTAGACAAATAGATAGAGATGAACAAATTAAATTGTCTCTTTTCTCTTCAATCGCCCATCCCCTGAAGTTGATATCTCTAATCCCTTGGAATGCATAAGTGATTATTTGTTGGTTTTTAATAAACTTTATTCAATAATTAACATAGTGGCAAACTGTAACCAGTTTTCTAGGTTAATGACCTATTATGCAAAGTAAATTATTTTTTATTTGGCTTTGATCACTTTTATGTGTTAGACTGCAGTTTTAGAACTCTGGGGAGAAATGAAACTGACAAAAAGTGACATTAAATAGTACCGAGAGACAGTTTGGTATAGTGGTGAAGGCATCATCAGAAACTAGAGACTGTGAGTTCCAGTCCCACCTTAAGAATGAAAGCTGGCTGATGATTTTGGAACAATCATCAGAAGATTGTGA